CTGTTATCCTTTCTAGAACTAAGAGAAAGTGACTAGCTCAAAATCAGCCATCTGACTTCCTGTCTAAGGCAGGAGTAGAACTCAGTTCCCTGGCTTCAAGCCTGGTGCCTTACTACACCAAACTGGTTCTCTTCCCTGATATGCTATCTACAATGTCAGGTCTCAGAAGCATCCTGTTAAAAAACAAAACCTTGCAAATTGCAACAGTAGGGCATTTATTTATGTATTTAATTTATAGTTTAATACCATTCCATCTCAATATACAAGAATCTCAAGAGCAGTTTTAAAATATAATCACAGCAATAAAACAATAACAAATAAATTCAACAATGCCATCCTCATTCCCATTAACCTCTAAAGCAGGAGTGTCAAACTCGACTTCATTGAGGGCCGCATCAGGGTTGTGTCTGACCTCGGGGGAGACTGGGGAGGGGAGGCATGGCCAACTCAATGTCACTTGTGTCAGGGGCACCTGTGATGACTCGAGCGCTCTGCCCATGAAAATGGGCTCCTGAGCTCCGTTTTCAGCTGCAACGGCCTCCTGCAACCCTCTGCCAGCAAAAACGGAGCTTGGGAGGGCAGCCTTAAGTTTGACACTCCTGCTCTAAAACATTCAACTGGGCCTGGAAGCCCATTTGGTAATCAACACAGCCACCATAAAAAAGGCTAATTCTGCAATGATGATGTCTAACTGCCAACATTCCATACCAGTCATCTTCACAAGCAGCTCCATATTCAGCACACTGCAGTAACCTAACCATACAGGGGAAGGGACATAAGTTACTATTTCCAACTTCTCCACATCCAAGATTGATAACTTACATATCAATCAAAGCTGGATAAAGATCCTTTTGGCCACATCCCTCTTGGTCTCTCTTTTTTGGCTTTGATGCACAAACCCACCCAATCACAGTTATTGCATTTGTGTGTGTGTGTGTGTGATGTGTGTGTGTTTGTGTGTGTATACATACCTTTTTACCATAGCAGAAAACTGTTCTTCCTACATCTGTTTTTAGTGTCTGAGATTAGTCATCATATTTCTGTCTATGAGCCAGAGGTGGGATTGCTAACCACACAACTCTCCTCTCTAAAATAATTGCTACTCCATTGCTATTGCCTACAAGCACGTTCATTGAACTAATTATATTCTCCAGTGCTGTTTAGAAGTGAATTTCCAGTATGATCGCTTGTTTCTTTCTTATGTATGTGTTTAATAATTTGCATAAATGGGTCATTGAATACATTTGCCTAAAAAAAACTACTGCTAGTTTTAAATTTAAGATCTCCGGTGGCGCAACAATTAAATGCAGTAATACAAGCTAAGCTTACTGACTGCTAGCAGTTCAGTCCTGACTGGCTCAAAGTGGACTCAGCTTTTCATTCTTCTGAGGTCGGTAAAATGAGGACCCAGATTGTTGGGGGCAATATGCTGACATTGTAAACCACCCACAGATTTATGTAAAGCACTGTGATTACAGGATGGTATATAAGTCTAAGTGCTATTGCTAATTGTCACATATACCAGATGGAGAGAATGTGTAGCTCCCCAGAAGTTGCTGGACTATGACTTGAGCATCTTTCATGACTGTTTTTGTGGGACATGGCTTCTGACTACTGAGTTCAGCAAGATCTGTGGCTATTCTGCCTGATTGTCCTAGGCTGCGTGCTTCATTAGATATCTGCTAAAGTCTAGTAGCAGGAGTTCAAGACGAAAAATGAACCAAAAATATATCTATGTTTACCATTTACTGAATAATCTGACAGAATAGTCCATGTATAATTCTTCACATGTCTATAATAAAAATTGATCTCCTTTTAAAATAGCATGGAACCTGAAGAACCGAGGAGGAGATAAAACACCCTGGGGTGAGATTACATTCTTGAAATCTTCATAACCATGTTTATATTTGCAATCATAAAAGTGGAATAAATTTTCAATTTTGGTTCATACATAAGCATGTAATAAAAACACTTGGCAATGAGATGTATTTTGTTTTCTCCTATAGATGTAAATATAGTAGAGTGATCAGAGGAATGCAAGAACTATGTATCAGGCATTATATGCAAAACAATGAACAAGGGTTCAAACATCATACTTTAAGCCTAATTTAAAATGGCAAAATGTTATGTTTACATAATATGCTAACCCAGACAAACATATCCTGATGATCCTGTTCAAGCAGTAAACCAAATCTAAGAGAAGGCTGAGTTCCCCAAACACTCTGAATCATACTAACTTTACTCCACTTTAATCTACTGTACTATATTATACATATCTCAACAATGAATAGATAATGTGGGTTTGCACAATATCTTAGACTAGTTTAAAATTCATCAGGTAGTTGTTATTTTCTAAAGGATGTAAGTACATTTCTGAATACACTAGCCTGTGTTTATGTGCATGTGTGTATTTGAGATTGTCAGGTGTTGTGTAGTGGGAAGCTGGGGTATTATTATGTTGGTGCTGGAGAAGCCTCTCTTTCTGATTGGTGTATCTATTAATAAAAAAAGCAACTGCTTGTTCTTAAAATCACATAAACTAGTCAGTAACCATTTTTAGTTGTTACATGTCACCAATCAGCAAAAATTAATTTGAGATAAAACAAAAGGCTGTTGCAATGTGTTTTCTTGTAGGAGAGGCAGAAGAGAATTATTTTTGGGAATAATCTGCCTGACTGGGAAACGCTTATAGCTAATAAGGCTATCTTTCCATAAAACAGTCAAACCAGGGCAAGAGGCTCTGATGGGCATGACTGAATCTGCCAGATCAGTTCAGCAGCCTCTAATCTATTATAACATGGAGAATAAATCTGCCTCTTCAGAAGGCTCCAAGCTTCTCAGCACTATTTTGCTTTCTCTTGCTTTTTGCTTCAATTTGAATATTTTACATACAGTAATTGAAGAGGCTTTGCGATGCTTCTTTCTAAATATATGCTGCTCATAGGAGACGGTATGTAAATATAAACAGATTTTTTTTAATATAATTACATAGATGAAAATGGAGAGCAAAGACAGAAACATATAATGCAATTTCTAATGCTCTAGTGATTTTATATATAACAGGCTAAGCCATGCAACCGTACTCTTCCAAACACAGCTATCATATTTGGGTTGCAAAAATCAGACAAACCCTACATGGAAACAAAGAGATACGAATTTATAGCTCTCTATAGCCCTCTGGTGAACATCCATGCTTTTGCAACCCAGATGCTTTTTGCATTCTTTTTGCAACCCAGTGGTGACCAGTGATTGTATATGGCAGGTTACATTGGTATATACATTGTAGAGTTCAGAAAGAGAAAACAGATTTCTCTGTAAGACAGCATTCCAAAGTCTTGATCAAATCCGAAGTAGAAAAAAGAAAGAAAGCATGAACCTTCTACAAATCTAGCTGTGCCTAAACCCTGAACCCCAAACTGGTTTTTATGAAATCTTCAGTTATTACTAGATCAGGGGTGGTCTTAGAGAACAGAGATTTGGGGGGGGGGATATTTCTTGTTTGCACAAATTGTTACAATACCAATATTCTGTCAGAATCAGAAATTATGGAAATTACAGTCATTTACCCTCTCATAATATACTGACCTACCCCATAACAAACCACTGAAACTCAAAAACTGCTATACTCTTGACAGAAAGCAGGAAAACATATCCTAACTCCAACATCCTAATAAAGTGCCTTTTCTACCTGATAGAAATGCAAAGGAAGATGAGGCTTATTAGGATTTTCCCTTGCACAAAGGATACAAATACTAAAAATTAGTTCATCCTAAGCCAAAGCACTCAACAGGCTGCCTTTTGTTTCGTTAGTTTATCAAATTCTCAAAGAATTAAACACACCCAAAAAAATTGCTATGAAGAATTGCTCTGTCCCTACTCAGAATGAATCCGAGAAAGACCAAAGCAAGTTTAGTTTCCCAACACCGGCCATTTATTTGATTGTCGTAACTCGATGCTCATAATATTTTAAAAAATCTATTCTAGACCTCATCATCATGGAGGAGCTCAGAGCAGCCTAAGACAAGCTATACTACCTTACTGGCTGAAACTGCGGAGATTCAGATAGATTCCTTGTGTGTCCAACCACACTTGGCCAATAAAGAATTCTATTCTATTCTATTCTATTCTATTCTATTCTATTCTATTCTATTCTAGTTGCTCAGTCCTGATGTCAATACTGCAATGACAAATAATTTATTTTGCAATCTGGAAACCTACCCATTTCCAACTATGCTATATAATACCGTAATATTATATACATTAGATTGGGAGGATTCCCAAATTGGGCTGTTTGGTTCAATGCAAGATGCCTCTGAAGAAGCCTAAATCTAAATTCAGAAGATTTCTTTTTTTTTTTACCAGTCCAGGATTGAAAAGGCCGCAGGGATAAAAACAATGGATACATTTCTTATTGGTGCCTCCATGGGGGGGGGGGGAACCCTCCCAGATTGGAAAGAGAAGAGATGCAGTTCGTTAACTAGCAGCTCCTGCTTCCATTCCCAGGAAGAGGTTTTGCCAAAGCTTTACAACTGCAGGCCTTCTAGAGAAGGGATATTCCCTTTGTTCAATTAATGTACAGTATTGCTGGTGTATTCCAGTCAGCACCATCTGCAAATAAATTATTTTAGGCACAAGGTTAAAGGAAATTGATAAAACCTGAGGAGTGGGGTAATGGTAGTCACAAGATACAAGATGGCATCCATGACCAGGCAATAAAAGCCCCAAGTCCCCTTGCAGACACCCCAGCCTCAAAGGGTTTATATTAGGTGTCTAGATACCTACTATCTCCATTTCTGCTTTATTACCCTGGTAATAACTAAACAAATCACAACCCTTTCTTGACTTATTTGTTATAATTCAATGTACTCTGGTCCCTGCACCTACCCTTTACAGACTTTTTGTAGAGGTCTTGCAATCACAATACAAAGTAAAAACAAGTGAATTAGGTTCGCTGTCATAAATATGAAGACCTTCCCACCCCCCTTCCCCAATTACATTACCTTAAAGCTTTAGGTAGAGACAGCTTGGTGCCATATATCGTTTTTATGCAGTTACTCTCCACAGAAAAACATGTACAGAGATGTGGTGAGGGAAGAGGTAACTGAGCAGAGAAAGTGGGTGGGTGGAAGAGAAGCCTTGTTCAGGTGCATTAAAAGGGTTCATTTCACTTTACAAACAGCTCCTCCTCAGCCAACTGCCTGCAAACATTTGCTCCTCTTAGCCATCCCTTTATTCTGCTGTAATCAGCAACTGCAAGATCTCTCCCTCTCTAGGGAAGAGAACTCATCTGCCTATTGGCTTACAAAGTACCAGCAGAGTTCCAAATCAGACTCCTCCACAGATGAAGGAACTTTGTGAAAACATACTAATTTCCCATGCTGGCTGAAGAGGGTTGACCGAGAAAATGTTTTCCCCTCAGGAACTGCTGCTTAGGCCATTGCCATAGGATGCAAGGGTAGGGCTCTGTGACTTCCCCATGTATGTACTAATTCCCTGGGGATCTACTCCTACAGTGTGAACCAGCCAGTCCTGGCTTTTGCTGTTGTGTTACTAAGGAACTAGCTCACCTAAAAGACAAATTCATCTTGAAAAAGATCCTGTTTATTTCAAAGAAACTCTTAGCTCAGACCTCTGGAGAAATGGCTGATGAAACAGGCTAAACTCTGCTAAAGGAAGGCATGATGATATGCTGCTAATAGATTCAGTTATTTGGGTCAAAAATAGATTCAACAGATAATCAGAGTTGGAAGGGACCTTGTAGGTCATCTAGTCCAACCCCCACCCAAGCGGGAGACCCTACACCATTTCTAACAAATGGCAGTCCAATCTTTTCTTGAAAGTCTTAAGTGATGGCGCTCCCACAACTTCCGTGGGCAAGCTGTTCCATTGGTTGATTATTCTCACTGTCAGAAAGTTTCTCATTTCCAGATTAAATCTCTCCTTGTTCAGTTTCCATCCATTATTCCTTGTCTGGCCTACAGGTGCCATAGAAAATAGCTTGACCCCTTCCTCCCTGTGGCAGCCCCTCAAATATTGGGAGACTGCTATCATGTCTCCCTGGTCCTTCTCTTTACTAGACTAGCCATGCCCAGTTCCTGCAACTGTTCGTTGTATGTTTTAGCCTCCAGTCCCCTCATCATCCTGGTTGCTCTTCTCTGCACTCTGCACAGAACTCTCTCAAATTAATTTAGTCTGGCAATCTGGATTTCAGCAAGGTTTAATTTACCAGCTGTCATGTGGGGGGGAGATGATGGTTTGGGGAGATTTTATTTTTTCAAAATACTCTATTATCCAAGGAGAAAAAATCCTAATCAAAAATGTAGTAACTATTAAACCTGAAAGAAACTACCTGCTGCTGAAAACAGATGTAGGATGCAATCATCCAAAGGGACCGTTTTACAGTAAGGTAAAACAAGAGAGACTTTAAGAAAGTGAAGGCCAAAGTCTACAAAGCAAAAAAATAAACTTCAGCCATAATTAAGGAAACCTCTTGCCTTCCTCTAAGACTCCCTTTTTTTTTCTGTACTTGCTACACCTAAAAGACTAACGCTTCATTTCCCTTTGCCTGCAAACTTTATTCATTTCCCTTGCAATTTCATTTCACTTCTCACAGTACCTTCAAGGAGACTTTTAAAAACAAATCAAATGAAAGAGACTGCTTACTAAACCACAGATCAGAGGAAAATACACCCCATAATGCCCATAGCTGAAGGTCCAGATCTTACCTTCCAATCCTCAAGACGGACGAGAGCTTACCAAAAGCATAACTTGGGCTAGCCAGAGATTCATTCAAGTTGGCTCTGTACAACATAAGCAATTCCGCCTGTCTCTGCTGTGTAGGCCAGAGGGAGAGTTGTGCAGCCAATTACAGCCGGTTTCGCAAAGTGGGAAACAAAGGGCCGTAGCCACTAACAAATGCTCCACAAATGCTACACCTGTTTTCTCAACAGAAGATTCCAAGAAGACAATGGACTCAATGTTCTCTGAACAGCAGACTTCCTAGGTGAAGTACTTTTTTTCCCCTAAAAAAACCCCATACAGCCTAGAGCAAATTGATACCAGCTGAATTAATGTTAATTGATTCCGTGGCCTCTGGACACAGACCCACAGGTTTTCTAAAACGTGAAAATATTTAAAAGGAGCTGGAGCAAAAAAGTCCTTCTCTCGTTTCCTTCAACTCTCTCCCCCTGCCTTTCGCTGCTTCTCCTCCCAGCAAAATATACAAGAGATGGTGCTGACACAGAAAGAATGTTGGTGCGTTAGCACTCACCAATGGACTTGAAAAGAAAAACACTCTTTACAGTCAGCATGAAACTGATTGCACAAAGGATTTTATTGTACTGTACAATTTTCCTGTCTCACAGAATTTTCCTAGGGGACAGAGGGGTAGGGGCTAAGGAACCTAGTAAGGTATTTTTCACTTTGTAACCCTCCTATGCATTTTCCCCACCATTTCCATATTACAGTATCTTCTTCAAACACAAATGCACACATAGTGTTAAGGCCAAACAGCTGCAATATCTGCCTGTCCAGCAAGGGTAGTCTGGGAGCCATCTGTTTAGAAGTATCCTTGCATTCTACAGATGGCCTGCTTGCTGTCTTCCAAGGGATTTTGAACATGTCACCACCATCTTTGAAGTGCTACATGCAACAGTGGAATTACTTAGGGCAGGAGTCTGCAACCTTAAACACTCAAAGAGCCATTTGGACCCATTTCCCACAGAAAAGAAAACACTGGGATCCAATAATTTAACAACCGGTGTGACTGGGTGAGCGTAGCCAACTCGATGGCACTCACTCCCACCCAGTCACCTCCTGCTCTGGAATAGGGAGCGAGTCTCCATCTCGCCATCACTCTTGCCTTCTCAGGCCAGGCGAGGAGTGACAGGGAGGGGAGGGGTGGGGTGGGGCCAGCCAATCATGGGATCAGCCTACAGGGAGCCGCAGCAGAGTGCTGAAAGAGCTGCATGTGGCTCCAGAGCTGCAGGTTGCAGACCCCTGACTTAGGGCTATTAGCCACCATGTGGCAGCAAAGAGATTGAAAATACGTTAATGGCAGGGCAGAGAGTATCCTTCTAAAATTTCTCCAAGATGTTGAACCCTACAAGAGCTAGGACTAGCCAAGATTGGTATGACGGCCCTAAGACCGACCTTCACAGCAAGGACTTTCAAAACCTTGTGAGAGCCAGGAGGTGGACCCTAGGGCCATAAATTCTACAGTCATGCAGGAGCTACTGTACTGTGAATTTCCCTTTTAGTTTTCCTGTTTGCCCCGCATTCTCATCTGCCTGCCCTGCCCAAGGAATCTTAACATAATTGAGCTCTTATAAGAGCAGACCTTGACTTGCCTAGTACTGTATACAAATATGGTTAAAGAGTTGGCCAGCACAACAAAGCCACAAACTCCATTTCCCAGCATGAGAACATTTTGATCAAACTAATTCATTTAACTGTAACTGCTGACTGTTTGTTCTCAACTAGGAATATACATCATCTCTGCTGCAATAATACTGCGGAAACTACAGTAAATCAAGATACCCTGCTCAAATTGGTTAGAAAACCAAAAATGCAGTAATCTCCTTATTGGTATTTTTGAGTTCTATCTGGTCCCAAGTTTACTACTTTCGTTCATAGCCCAAGAGGAAAGAATCCAATCTATGTGTTAGTATTATTCAAAGCTGCAACATTTCCCCTAAAAGGCTACATATTTCTAATGAGAAAGGTTACGTCCTGTCTCTCCTAATTCTGATGAGGCTGCTAAGAGCAGTTCAGGACAGGATTAAAGCACCACTCACTTTCATAAGCGGGATCAGAAAATCCACCTTCTGGTTTTCATTGTGGCTTCAACTGTATATTTTGCCATCCATTCCTCAACAACCTCACCAATTCTCTGCGGTTCTGTTTCTTTAAAAGCAGCAAGCTAAGAAAGGTCAGATTTCAGGTTTGTTTGTTTTTTTGCTCAGCCTGAAAGACATACATACATCGCTCATCAAGATTAGACGAAAATCTCTGGTTCTTTTTAAATGGAACTTTCCCTCAACTCCCCTTTTACCTCTCTGTTTTTTTTGTTTTTTTTCCTGAGAAGCTGCAAGAAAAAAAGAAATTGTCACGGGTTGTGCAGGCTGGAATGCAGCAGGACCACAGGAAGCCAAGAGTTGGCTTAATACCCTGCCCCCCTCAAAAGCTGCCCCAGACCATGAGTCAGGGGGAGCCGGTGGGAAACTGAAAAAAGTAAGGGGCTATGTAGAGTGCATAGAGGTTGAGTTGGCATTAAGAAGGTAGCAATAGGAAATATCTTAGCAGCCTCATCAGAATTAGGAGAGACAGGACGTAACCTTTCTCATTAGAAATATGTAGCCTTTTAGGGGAAATTCTTAATTTAATTTCTTTAAAAATAGATATTTGGGTTTTAGTCTGTACTTTATTCCTAAATAAATATTATTAAATACATGATATATAAATAAAAAGGCTTTTCTTTATTTAAATAAATAAGGTAGTGTACAATAGATATTATTTATTATTATCATGGAAAAAAACTTGTTTTCTCCTCTCTCATTAAGTAGGTTAAAAGGAGAGAGAGAAAAAATCTACTGGCTGGAACATCCTACCCTGCCTTTTTTGCTAAAAGGGTAACAAGAGCAATAAGGCTGAAAGAAATGTTGGGCATTCTTTATTTCCCAGGATCTCTTCATGCAAACAATGTTAAATCCAGGCCACTGCCCCTTTGTCATGCCGAGCAACAGAAAGTATCTTAAGAGGTCTCCTGGTCATTCATACTTTATGAGGAGGCCATATGACTCTCTCAGGGTCACCTGCAGTCACACGGAAAGAGACAGCATCACTTCCAGCTCAGCAAACTGGGAAATGTGCAGCAAAGCGATTCTGGGTCCCTTCTGGTAGAAGAGCCTTTCTGCCACTGAGTTGGCTGCAGCATGCTCTAATAAGAGTCCAACACTTTTGCAATGAGAATTGAAAGGAAAGCCAAAAGATGCCCAACGGAGTTTTATTCCTTCATCGTTTGCATTATTGTATGATGCTAAAACGATGAAAGAAAATGCAAACACAAGCACATTCGTAAGGAAACCAACCAGTTGCAAACTGATCAAGATAGTAATTTTAGAAAGGACCTACAGTTTATGCTGTAAACCCCAAATCAGGTGTCCAGGATACCTCCTGAGAACCAGACTGATGAGAGATTCTGAGAGAGGTGCTCATGTCCTCTCAAATGTCTTTTGTGCCTTCACAACAGATGCACTATATGCAGCCCCAGTGTTTTCTCATTTACACTGACTCCATCCACAACCTGTATTTTCCATCACTTCCCTCCATCTTCTCCCATTTTTGGCCTCCCGGGGCGTTCGCGCAGCCCGTTTTTGACCTCCCCTGCCTCCAGTAACACTCTGCAGGTCAAAAATGGGCCCGCCTCCAGTAGCACTCTGCTGGCCAAAAATGTTAGCCTTACCTTCTAATATCAGCCCACAGGGCTCACGAAGATAAGTCCTGTGCTTGGCTGAAGGATGGGGGCTGGTGGGTGGACAGGGTGATGTGGGTGGGGCAACCTGGTGGTCCGGATTAATGGCTCCCGAGGGCCATAATTTGAGGACCGCTGCGTTAGGGCTTTCAAGGCAGGTGTCCAAGAAAGAAATCTTAGCTGAGGGAATTCCTTTGCTGCTCACTGTCTCTCCAACGCAACTGCTGGATACACAGGAAATTGGGGCTTTGATGGCAATCATTGGCTTACCGGCCTAGCAGTTGTACTAGAGGAAGGGATTGGAGAGTGGCGGCAGAAGCAAAACTGTTAGGGCAGGGAAAAGGAAGGCAGAATGGAGCTCATACACTGAAAGGCTTCACAGGCCCAATCTTCCATTGCCGTCACCTCTTTTGCCAGTCAGAGGCAGCTCTGCTCTGCTGCTGTTGCTACTTGCACTGGACCAGGTATTTTCATTTCCCCCCAAGAACCTGCTAATTAAAAAATGAACCCATGGAACCCCTGATTGGGAGGCCACGTTCTAGTGACAGAAACCTGGTTGTATCTGACTGAACATGTTTTCCCCTTAGCCTTTCCTGGAACCACGTGAAGTTCTACTGAAATACTGGGATGTCACAACAATCTGATTAGTTATAGGGGTGGAGGAATGATTGATCACTTCATGGCAAGAGGACAGGTTTCACCCTTCCTTCCGCCTCAGCTGCAACCTGGATAGCAGCCTTAGGGCCCTTCTTGGCTTGTCTGAGTATCAAGCGGAAGGGTTTCTCCACCCCCAGAAAGCAAGGGAAAACTTTGGGAAGAAAAAAGAAGACATACTGTTTGTCTTCCCAGGAGCTTCTCACTTGTCCTCAGTTCATGCACAAAGTAGCAACAAGGTAGACAAAGCAGCTCTGAGGTTGGTTTGCCTGCTGCCTCTGAGTTACTGGAAGGGGAGAAGTCGGAGCAGGAAACTGCATCTGCAGGCAAAGGAATGCAATTTCTACACGACTTTAAATTCTATTTGCAATTATTTTGTATACTTCCTTGAATAAATATATACAGAAAAAATAGATGTTCCTGAATTTTTGTTCCTCCATATATGTCTTACTGGAATTAGAGATCAATTATATCTACATCTTCCAATACTCACTCTATTGAGCTTTCAGTTCTTCAATATTTTTGTTAAAAATCACTGATGGGATAAATCACATTACCTTTATTGGATTGAATATATTTTTAAAATTCTGCTTTTAAAATAGTTTTATCAAAACTTGATTAATGTCACAGGAAGTGATAAATGAAAGGACCACATATAGTTCTATGAGATTCCAGAAATGTGTTGCAATTTTTCAACCAGTAAATATCTTTGGAAACCTTTTAAAGTCAGCTGACAATGAGAAACAGATTGCCTTTTCATTGATCGTAACATGTCACAGACCTCACAAATTTGATGTCAGTTACTCACAAATATTTTGAGGAATTATTAAAGTAACAGTACTTTACTTGTTTCACAGTCTGGAATATGAGCAAGAAAACATGTGTATCATCAGAGAAAGGTAATAAAAATCTGATAAATACATTTTAATAAATCACCAGCTAATCATTTAAGAATTAATTTTAAAATGAATCTATAAAATGATTGTGTCTGCAAATTACAAGAATTCTACTTGGATTTAGCCCCAATATATTTCAGAATGTCTGGTTCCTTTGATCAGTCAAGCA